GTGCTTTGAACTTCTTTCAAAAATAATTTAATTAATAATCTTTAAAAATTTTCATGTCACACGCATTGAAAATCACTATTCTAGAAGATGGAAGGCAAGGATATGGCTTCTCCCCTCAGAGTCCCAAGAAGAAAGTAGGTCTGCCAACTGCTATCTTGCAGCTGAGACTGATTTTGGAATCCTGCTATCCAGAACTGAAAGGTAAAAAACTTATTTTGGTTTGAGTCACATGGTTGTGGTGATTTGTTATAGCAGCAATAAGAAGCTAATACACTCTCCAGCACCCTGCTGGGCCCAGGACTTCATGTTCCAACTGTGTTTGGGACCGGCCAGGAAAACAGTAAGCTTGGGAGGCTCAGGAGGAAAACCCAGCCCAGGTTGAGTATCTGTGTCCTTGGGGCAAGGCAACCTGAGCAGAGCCTCACGCTTTGCTGGCCAGAATCCAGCCCCACCAAAGCCTGGCCTTCCCAAAAGCCAGCCCTGAGTGGATCACAGGACGTCAGAGCAGGAAGATCCTCCAGTCCAGTCAGTGTGCTTATGAGGAAACCACGGTCCCAAGAGGAGAGGCCACATGGTGAGTGGGTCAGGTCTGTAACTCCCAGCCAGGGCTTCACTGACACGGCCCCTAAAGCAGAAGTAACTTCTTTAACTTTAGTCCAATTCTAATCCTAGCACTGGCCCTTCTTTTAACCCTAAATTATCCCTGACCCTGCCTTTAACCCCTTCAGAGTCTCCAATGACCCTTAGGTGCTCTGGACACAGGTGCTCTGGTCTCACTGGTGTCTGGTGCAATGGATAACAGCACCCCATCCAGGGGCTGCCCCACAAGTAAACAGCCTCTCCAGCCAAGTGTGGGATGCATTTCAGCCCCCGTGCCTGGTGTGACCAGGTGTTCTTAAGAGGTGAATAATCCACACCAGCTGCACTGGACAGCCCTAGCCCTAACCTACTAGAACCTTCATCTTCTTGCTCTCTATCCTCTTCTTTGGTTTACTGAGGTAGCCATTTGTCCTCTTTTAGTCCATCTTGCACTCAGCATGCAAAATGCTAAAACTGACCTTATTCAGCTCCAGCTCCAAGCCCCTCTATACTGAATCAGTGAGCCTAGCCTTCCTCCCTCTTCCTGCCATTAGCCCTAACCTTACTGCAGGCCTTGAAGACTGCATGGTGTCCCGTCTGAGCCTTGGTTTCCTCCTTTGTAAACTGGGCTAAGGGTGTGCAGTGATGGGAGGATAATCCTGGCTTCCATGGAGATGCCCCTCCCTGGGACAAGGCTAGTGGCCTTTCCTTCACCTCTTTGAAAATCCAGACAGTGTGAGGCAGCCTTGACCAGGATCCAGGCCTGCAAGGTTGGCGCCCTCTCAGATCTTCTGCAACTGCTCTGCTCGATGGATGTGATGGAAAGATTGCCAATAGCCAGGAGGAGAAGGAATGAACTGGCCCAACTTGGCAAGGTAGGAGTGAGTGCAGGAAAGAGGAGGGCTTCAGAGTGAGGGTCGGGGAAAGGAGAAGACCCGGAGGAGTTTCCATCCTCTGGTCTCACTGGAGTCTGGTGTTAACCCTTGTCCCTCCCAGGGCTTGAGAGTCCACAGGGCAAGGGAAGGAAGTGTCTAGACACAGGAGTTAAGCCTTTTAAGGCCATGGGCTGTGGAGTCAGCCTCAGTAGTTGACACCTGTCAGCACTGGCTGCTCTGGCATGGTTTGGGAAGCAGAGAAGCTCAAATTAGCAAGTGACAAGCTCAGCCCATCTATCCTCCTGGCAGCCCCTCCTGCCACAGGCCCTCCTCCCAGCCCCCAACCATCAGGGGTCATGCCTAAGTGTCAGCCAACCACGAGCCTCCTCCCCACTTCTCCACCCACTCCCACCTCAAGCTCCTCAGTTGTTCCAGGACCAGGTTTCCTCCATCTGAGTTCTGAGAAGGGACAGGACTAGGGGCTGAGGCGACTAGAGCAGAAGGAACAAAGAATCCAAAAGGTTTTCACCCTCAATTTTTTGCCACAGATCAGCCTCACCATTAAATTGTGTGGCATTACAGACAGCATAGCACAGTGAGTCAGCACACGACTTTAGAAGCAGACAGCTCCGCCACTCGCTGGGAACACTCACTAGTGTAACTTAAGCAATTTGACCCTTTGAGCCTCCACATCCTCATCTGTAAAATGGGGATGATAAGAGTCCCCACCTCCGAGGGCTGCTGTGAGCCTGCTGTGAGGTAATGTGTGTGAAGGGCATTGCAGACATCTGGCACGAGGCA